CTGACTGTACTCGGCCGTCATTGATAGGCCATATCGGTTAATAAACTAATCATATCTCTCTTTAATCCAATTCAGGGAACATGTCGTATTTTTGTATGTATTTAATAAATTGTCTTTAAGTTAGATATAAATATATGTAGGATAAGGAGGTTATAAGAGGTTAATTATGTTTCTTTTTAATATTTCCTTCCTTTCCTTTTTAATTGATTTCCGTTCCTTTTTAATTGATTTTGAATTTTATACTTTGACGTTGGTTTAAAATTAAGTTGAAGGTTGAGAGAAAAAAGAGGAACGACGATGTAACAAGATGTGTTTTTTGTAAAATGATGCGAATATTAAAAATAGCGATAGATAACGAGTTTATTTTTATTTGATCGAGCCACAACCCCACATATATATCTACCTATTCATATAATAAAGCATAAACACACTTTGTTATGTAGGATGTCAGTAATCTATACTATTATAATAACGCGTAAACATACACTTCTTTGTTGCCTAAGATGTCAGCAATTACAGCATATTTTCGAATAATTCTTTTTTTAATAAAATGCCCTATACTTGCTTCATGCTTTAGACTACGTATTTTCACGCTATTAAACTTAGGAGGTAAATATTTTGGGAAGGAAAGGGACCATAAACTACAAGCTGACATCAAGGAAGCAAGATTGACATGGTATCGTTAATTGTTTGCCATTGTAAAAGGCTTTCGTTGTCATTTGTGTATTTGAATTTTGACATTTACAATTGAAAATTTTACGTAATATAAATAACTAGCTGTTCCCGTGCGACTTCATCCGCATACAATTTATGTTTATATTTATTTATTTTATTGTTTACATTTGTCCAATTATCAATTGCAAATGTCAAAATGTCATGACATGATGACAAACCATGACAACCTTGCTTAATGTTAGCAGCTTGTAGTCTATGGTCCCTTTCCCACTAGAAGGTTTGTTTTTTTCAAGTTATTTATTCCGCAAGCGTGTCGTAACTGTAGGGCTTATTATTAAAGAAAGAATTATTCAAAAATACGCTGTCATTGCAGACATCCTACGCCACGAATTAGTGTGTGTTTACGCTTTATTATATTAGTATAGAAGATAAAATGTAGTTTTTGTAATTCCATGCGGATGAAGCCGCACGGGAACAGCTAGTAATCATATACAACTCGTCGAAACCGAAGCTTTGAAAGAGTTCCACGAGGAAATATTTTGGGAACTGGTCTAAATATCCAAAACCTACGTCTTTTTAATAAATTTTAATGTAATGTTGACTTGAGCTAGCACGATATCAGAATTACTACTTATCGAGATCACATGTGGGCGGTCATGGGTAAAGTCGGATTCCAGGAACACATTCACAATACTCATCAGTCAGGATATCATCGATCTACCTAGCTCATATCGTTCAAACTATGTTCTCGCAAGGATCCCTATTTTCAGAATAATCTAAGTTCTACGAATGTCGCTTGGCGGCGCTCGTGTTCTAATTATGACCTTAATTCAAATTGATTTCTTCTGATTGCGACATATATTTATATCGCTATAATTGTATATATTGTATGTATTATTGGCTTTTTTCCTTTAACCTGAATATTCGAAGATAATTAAATCATCAACATCCTCTTTTATCCTACTCCCGTAGGGTCGGCGCAACAGGTTTTTGTCCTCCACATAACTCTATCATACGTCATCTCAGTCATCACTCCCTTGATCATGTCACCTTTCACACAATACATCCATCTCTTTCTATGTCTACCTCTACCGATGTCCACACTCATAACTAACGTTCTCGTAACATACGATTCATCCCTCCTCATAACATGCACCCATCCATGCTAACCTTTTACTCCTTACCTTCTACCACTGGGGCTACTCTCAAACTTCCTCTAATATACTCATTTCATATCTAAATAATTAAATATGAACAATTATTAATGCTGATGCAATATTTGTTGCAAAAAATAACCAAATACCTTATAATAGATATTTTGAATTGACAAGAAATAAGACAGGGCTGTTTAGACAGAGAGCGCAAGCACATCTTTACTAAACTATTGCAAACCTGTTTAGTCTCGCTTTGATTCCTATGAGCTATGGTGCACTACTCGATGATTAGTTGTGCAACTAAACAGTTGAATTGGCTAAACAATCGACAATCGCACAGTTCGATTGTTTACTCAAAGGTGTGCGGCCGCTCTTAACATACAAGGGAACGTATAGAAGTCGCTGCCTTTATTCCATTTTAATACAACTAAATTACTAAAGAGAGGAACATCATATTGTTACTACTACATGCTAGTATTATAAACTAGATTTTTACCCCGACTCCGTCAGTGTGTCATTTAAAGTTTTCAATTAAAAAACAAAAGGGAGTAGCCTATGTGTTCTTCCAGACTCTCCTACACTTATGACAGGTTTTATCGAGATCCGTTCAGCAGTTTAGGCTACAAACTCTAACAAACATGCATCTATCCAAACTTTCACTTTTATAATTAGTAAGATGTAAACATACACAACAATAGCAACACATAGGCTGTTTTTTTAATTCCATGCGGACATAGTCGCGGGTGAAAGCTAGTATTATATATTATCATCCTTGTCTTTCTATTTGTCAAAACAGAAACAGTAATTTGTAATAACAACTAGCGGTTGCCCGCGTCGTAGTCCATGAATATTAAGATAAAAATGTGGCCGTCTATGTCAGCTACCCTTCAGTGAAAGTCCGGTGGAAATTGGTCCAGCCGTTTCCAAGATTACCCGGAACAAACGGCTTGCGGACATACAGACAGACAATCTTTTTTTAAATGCGATTTTTGTTAACTGCAACTTAAATACATCATCTTCTCGAAATCTGGAATTTTTCTTTTGATTTTACAACCAGACACTCCAATTTTATTATGTATATAGAAAGGAGATAATGTCAATCTAAACCCACAGATATCAAGTTGTTACGGGCCGTAGTTTAACGACCTCTGGATATGAAATAATTTGAATATAGAAAGCTTTAGAAAAAAAAAATTTAAATGAATTTATAAACACCGCATTAAGTTTTTGCCGCGATTCCAAACGTATTACGTAAATGTTTAAGTAACTTTCGACCTTGGGGTAAAGGTGGGGCTCCACTTCGAGCGAGAAGTAGATAAGTGTTTAGGATAAAAAAAAATAGCTGTGCACTATTGGAAATATTACAAATAGAATCATATTTAATCTTCATCTATAGTAATATTATTTAGGCTAGAAGATGTAATTGTTTTTCAGCAGCGGTAACTCACAATTTAATCGAATAACAATCGCTCAAGTACTTTGTAGCTAATTAACATTACATATTTAAAAGTCAAGATTTTAATAAATAAACTACCTTTACCCACGACTGTATTCGCGTGGAATTCAAGAAAAACTGAAGAAAGTGGCCTTGTTTGTTCTTCCAGACTATCCTCTACATTTATGCCAAATTTCAGCGACATACGTTCAGCGGTTTATGCTACAAAAAAAAAACAATCCATCCATTCAAACTTTCACATCTTACTAATATTATAAATGCGAAAGTTTAGATGGATGGATGGATGGATGGATGGATAGATGGATGGATGGATGGATGGATAGATGGATGGATGGATGGATGGATAGATGGATGGATGGATGTTTGTTAGCGTTTGTAGCCTAAACGGCTGAACGGATCTCTATGAAATTTGGCACAGGATTAGAGCATAGTCTGGAAGAACCCATAGGCTACTTTTTATCCCGGGAATAGTTACGGTTCTCGTGGGATTCATTAATTTAGTTTTTTAATGTTTACTCGATCATTCTGCAATGGTTTAACATATCTTATTGAAATTTGGCACAGATATAAAACAAAGTCAGGAGTACACATGGGATAAGCTTCATTCCCGAGAAATGTCCGGTTCCCGAGGGATACGTAACATTTTGTAATTTATATAGTTTGCATGTTTTCTAATACCACGCGGACGAAGTCGCGGGCAACAGCTCGTTTATAATATTAGTAACAACAAAAATGCATGCTATTAAATCTATCAACATAAATCTATCCGCTTTCCTCTCCGCTGTAACTACGCACCTACGTTTACGCAGTTACCTCAGAAAACGGTAAAGCAATCATAGAACGATTTGCTTTGTACTAACGACTTATGATTATCGTTACATCCTTCAACATGAACATTTAACAAAAACATACATTCGTCTCATTCGTTCTCTTTAAAAAAATAAAGATAGTAATATTCTATCGGTTCGATGTAATTTGTGCATCAATTTTCGTATACATCGATTCGGTTTTATATTTCTGCGGAGTTAAGAGTACTGTTAACTACGAAGACCAAGCAAGCGGCCATCTGAAACCGCCGCAATGGCGAAGCGACCGCTGCTCATAGACATCTGCAATTGCAGATGCGTTGCCTACCCTTAGTCGACGGAGGAGGAGACCGACATAAAGAGGATACTTCCCCTTCCTATGCGTCTCCTCCATTGTAAAATCCACTTCTCCTTCCCATCCATTCATATTTAGAAAAGGGTGGATAGGGAAAGGGACCAAAATTGGGCCTCCGGCACCAAACTCATTATACGAAACCCGGAATTACGCCTGTCTTCTGTGTGGTCGTGGTATTACACCAGGCGAGCCGGCGTAGATGTTAAAGCGGGCACTACCACTGTTAACTGTTAAGCGGTAGAGCCTGCAGGTGCATCTTTAAAACTATCATCATCATCATCACCAGCTGATACGTCCCCACTGGAGGGGCTCAGAACTTACCCTAATTATGGGTGACTAGGATATAGTGAACCACGCTGATCCACTGCGGTTCGACTTCACACATATCTTTGAATTTCTTCGCCGATTTGCATCACGATGTTTTCCTTACCGTAAGAATGTCGGGTTAATTATACATATGAAATT